TTTGTATAGGGGGAGTATATCTGGAAAAAAAATTGTTTACTGGTCTGTATTGTCATAAGTGGAGAAATTTCAATCTTTGATTGGTCATGATGCTCAAGATTCTCCTAATCATCATGAGGGGGAGATATCATATCAAAAACATGAACATAGATGAAGAAAGACACAATGAAAAGACGTAAAGGCAAAATTATGCAGATGTTACGAAGGAGAAATAATATTAAAAGATATGAGAAGCAAGTGTTGATGTTCAGTGAAGCTAATGCATCTTCGTATATGTTGAAGGGATTAAACTGGTATTTTGATTGTTGAATCAGTTCATTGAAGAGAAATGATTTGAATCTAAATCTTTTGAGTCTGAGGTTGAAAAGCCGTTGGATTTAAAGATTCTAGATGTTGATGAAAAGGTGTTGAGCTTAATATACGTAGTGTCAAAGCTTTGAGTCTAAACGACTAAAGCTTATATGTTGATTGAAAAAGATTTGTTGATTGTTGATGATTATTTCAAGATGATTTCAAAGTGAAGTTTTTGATCCGAAGATTCTATTTGCTAAAAAGGAGAGATTGTTATTTTTCAGATCCGTCTTATTTGAAGGTTGACAAAGTCTGTTCGTCTTTGTCGGGGGATATTGTTTAAATCAAAAATTGATTGAAGTAAAGACGAAATGATTTATTTTAAAAAAAATATGATCTCGAATACAAAGGGGGAGATTGTTAGGTCAAATATTATTGTATCCGGGATCACTGAGCATTGAAGACTGAAGGGGTCAAATATGAACGTCAACATGGTCAAAGAAAGTCAAAGTTGTTCATAATTGTGAAAAGTCAACATTATAACTAGAGCTTAATTGTAGTTTACTTTCTTGTAATAGTCAATTGTATAAATATCTTGACTTCTTGTAATTAGAGAAGGTTCATTTATTGTTATCTTAGATAGATTCTAGAGAGAGACACATATTATTGATATGATGATTTTATTTCTAATTGTTGTTCTTAATTGAAGTGTTTATGATAAAGCCTCTTCCCGTTTTCCAAGCAATCCATTTTCCCCTCCCACACATCCCACATGTTTTACCAGTACAAAAATCTCAACCAGTTCCTTTAGCCAAGGTACACCTTCTCACCACGACGTATGCCAAACCTATCTCGGTTGTCGCCTTTTTTGATACTGGGTCTTCTGTTTCAATTCTGAATCCCAATATCTTACCCAGCAGCTACTGGAGGCCACATAACCAGCATTTTCTTGCAGCCAACGGTGATACTTTTGTCATTGACAAGATCAGTATCCCAGTTTACATCCGGCTTTTTCCTAAATGTGTGGTTAAACACAGGCTATTAGGATCCAGTTCGCATGGCAAGGACCTTCTGATCGGTTTCGACATACTCCATACACTACCAGGATTGAGGTATGCAAAACAGGGTCTACAATACAAGAGTTTCCTAAATCTATGGAGCTCTATTCCATGACTCTTCATGGCATCAGACGTCACTATGGATAGTCTCAAAGAGCAGATTATTCAATCTTCTTGCGCCTCAAATCACACTGAGTTTTTAAAGAAAAATGGGTCTCCACTATGGTTAAATTCTTCGTTTTTTGTTACACTCCCATTCAAACAAAACGAAGATGTTAACCCCACAAGAGCGAGCCACCCGGGTATGAATCCAGATCACTACCAGCTTGCAACCTAAGAGTGTTCAGAACTGTTAAACCAAGATCTCATAGAACCAACTACATCGCCATGGGCATGTGAAGCATTCTATGTCAACAAGAGGAGTGAACAAGTTCGTGGCAAGCTTAGGCTAGTCATAAATTATCAACCGCTCAACCAATTCTTGGCTGATGACAAGTTTCCWCTACCACAAAAGAAGTCATTATTCCAGTCTCTCGCAGATGCAAAGGTTTTGTCCAAGTTTGATCTCAAAGCTGGTTTTTGGCAATTAGGGTTAAGTCCTGATGACAGACCAAAAMCCGCCTTCTGCATCCCAGATCATCACTACCAGTGGAAAGTTATRCCRTTTGGTTTAAAAAATGCTCCATCTGTCTTCCAAAAGGCAATGATAAGGATTTTTGAACCAATACTCAACAATACTCTGGTATACATCGATGACATTCTTCTGTTCTCACCGGATGAGAAATTTCACATAGATTTACTCACCAAGTTTCACTCCATTGTCAAGGAACATGGGATTATGTTATCCGAGAAGAAGATGGAAATCAGAGTCAACTCTATTGATTTTCTTGGTATGAAGATATCTGGTGGGCAATACCAGCCACAACCTCACATTGCTCAAKAACTRCAYAAGTTCCCAGGAATCCTGACGTCACAAAAAGAAATCCAACAATTTCTCGGGCTAGTTAATTATATGGCAGATTTTTTGCCTAAATTATCAAGCCATACTGTGCATTTATTCCCTATGCTAAAGAAAAATCCACCCTCGTGGGGTAAAGAACAGACTTTAGCTATAGAAAGAATAAAGCAACTAGCTGATGTGATGCCTCCTTTAAAGATTCCTACTGCTTCTGACAAAAGGGTCCTCCAGACTGACGCAAGTGATGAGTACTGGGGGGCAGTCCTAATAGTTCAATACAAAGCTGGTGTCAGAACAATTTGTGGATACAAAAGTGGCACGTTCAAAGATTCGGAGCAGCACTACCACTCTACCTTTAAAGAAATCCTAGCGGTCAAAAGGGGAATAGAAAGATTCCAATTCCATCTAATCTGGCACGATTTCCTGATTGAAATGGATATGTCTTCTTTCCCACGTATGCTCCAGTTCAAAATAAAGATTCTCCCAGAAGCTCAACTTTTGAGATGGGCAAACTGGTTCTCTCAATGGAAATTCACTGTGAAACATATCAAGGGGTCAGAAAATATCCTAGCAGATTTTCTGTCAAGACCAAAAGGCTATAAATATGATGTTCCAAAAGACATCCAGATCATCCACAAAGCCAAGGTCCTTCCAATGGTATTTCMTRTCRAGAATGCAAGTTCTTCCAGSTCTCCTGTTCCACACACTTCTCAAACCCCACATCAGGTTGTTCCAGCTGAAGAGATCACAATTGTACCACAAGTCCTGCCAGATGAAGTAACATAAACCATTGCTGATCTCACTTTAAGAGAGAGGTCCCAGTTGAATTACAAAACGTTTTTCACCATCATACTAAAGAAGCATGGTATGTTCATGAGAAACCTTCAGTTCCATCCGGATTACCCATACCTAAATGTCTTCCATATCCATGACTTACATAGGTTACCAAAAGAAGCCCTTTGTTTCTTCTGGTATCTTTTCGAGTCTCATACCATAACAATATCGTTCAACTCAGCCAAACTACTCAGCTACATTTTTTAATGTCAGTTTGATAGTCCGCCCCAAGGGGTAAAGAACGTGTTCACCCTTCTCCAGTGGTTCCTCCCGGCTCATCAATGGATTCAACGATTAGCTGTCTGTTTCAAGACCTATGTTGTAATCATGTTTAGAAGACCCTGCTCCTTCTTACCACATACAGCTCTTCGACAACAACAATCGCTGGTCTACCACTCTCCATTGTCATTTATTCATGAATGGAATGTCCGCAACCCAGGCAGCTCGCACTACGAATGGTCCCAACCAAAAAAATATATAGAAACAAGGCGGATCCTAGCCAGTGCTAACCTAGTTGATCCAGATTCAATCCCAGAACAAGTCCTAAATAATGAAAGTCTTTGGCCCTCCGATCACCCAGTTTCTGCATCATGGGATAAAGCACTTAAAGACTGGTACCAGACTCATCTTACAAAGAAATTGGACACTTCCGACGATGAAGACGATAATGAAGATGATGAACGTTATGATCCCGGAGAAAATATGTATGATCCTTGGAAAAGAAATACAAGTCTCTTTCTTATATCCTCTCTTGTTCTTAAGTTTAAGTTGATGTTCTTCATGCTTTCTCTTATACAAGCTTCTTAGTTTTCCAGTTACAGACCAGTCTCCCTTAGTCTCCCTTAGTGTCCCTGTCTCCCAGTCTAGGGAATCACCATTTGGTGTCAACAATTAAGAACCCTTTATGTGTGTCTATCTAATAATCCCCATAATCAGATAACAATGTAATTCAACAATTAAGAACAACAATTAGAAATAAAATCATCATATCAATAATATGTGTCTCTCTTTACACAATGTTTTTCTCTCTTATTAAGGCTTGAGCAACTATGATTCCCTTCAGCTCCAAGAATCTAAATGATTCATTTGCTAGAGTTTCTGGGAAGGAGTTTTGGTTTACTTTGTAAACCAAACAATTTGTACAAAACATACAAACTATCATCATCCGTCGATTTTTTCTTTAATCTAATGAAATTGTTTCATATAATTATTTTCTTAATAAAATTGTTTCTTAGATAAAAATGATAATGTTTCATGAATTTTTTACTTTTATATATTTTTTTTAGATTTAATATAATGAATATGATAATATACATAATTAATGTCGTTAATAATAATAATAACTAATCAACCCTCATGATAAAAAAAAGAGTGAAAAAAAGGAAAATATTTGATTAATTGAACGAGGTATACAAAGTTTGTACAAATAAAAATATTTACATTTAATCCCTCCTCCGTATATAATTTAAAATAAAACTCTTACTATGTAAAGTAATTTATTTGAACATCACATGGGTATTGCATAAAATATAATTTGTGGATTGTTATCTATCCGTGAGCTACAGTGCACGCTGACAAGATTTTGACTAGGAGTGGATTGAAAGATCCCCAGAGTGTTTCCTCAATGAGTTTTAAAACGCATGTGATTTGCACTATGTATTATAATTTCATTTCCCTTCATTTCCCTATGCATATAATTACAAATCTCGACATTATATGCTTTGTAGCTAGTATTCTATGTTATCTGTCAGGTTATACATTTTGAATATCGAGTTATGATGTATTAGTTTATATTTTTGGCATCATTGCATGTTTGTTTAATCATATAGTGTATTTATATTTGACCAACGTGATTGCCACACAAAAAAATTATTTATGTTGGAAGCTTCTTGCAGGTAGAGAGGAAGCTGCTTCAGTTTTTTTATCATTAATTACAAAGAATCATTATAAGTAGCAGTCAATCAGTCACTGCTATTCCATCGGTTCATGATCATAGTAGTGATCTATAATTCGTTTACGGTTTAAAGTGATGAGGAATGCAAGTTGTGAGATGAATAAAGGCTTAAAGAAAGGTTCATGGAGCCTTGAAGAAGATCATAAATTGATTTCTTATATTAACAGATACGGCATCTGGAACTGGTCTCAGATGCCCAAGTTTGCAGGTAATTAAGTACAAACAGACAATTGTTGGATCTATGATTCTGTTATCCACATCACTTGTCGATATGTGTTTTGAAATAGAATGATTACTGACTGTTGTTTTTTGGTCTTTAGGCTTATCGAGAAGTGGGAAGAGTTGTAGGCTTCGATGGACTAATTATCTTAAGCCTAACGTAAAGAGAGGGAACTTCTCCAAGGAAGAGGATGAAACCATACTCCATTCTCATTCCATTCTCGGCAATAGGTATTCATATATGTCAAAAGATATGGGAAATCAAACCCAAATATTTAACTTTGTCATTTGCTTGTTGATGCACTCTTTGTGATTCACTGGTGCATATGTGAATTGGATTCTAACTCCTACTTCTGGGATATAAGTTGAAGAAATTAATATAACTAAACCATACATAGTAATTTAACATACTTTTAGAAGGGACAAATAATTAAGTTCAGTAAATATTGATCTAATTTCTTCCTACCTTTAATCTATTCACAGGTGGTCTGCAATTGCATCAAGACTTCCTGGGAGGACAGATAATGAAATAAAGAATCACTGGCATACCCGTCTGAAGAAACGTGGGACTTACAACCTGGTGCATGAAACAACAAAGCCAAATAGAACCAGCATATCATCGGATTTTGAAGTCAATAACGTTCAGAACATACAACAACGGGTTAATCATGTGAATGGTATCATTCCATCCCAGTCCTCATGGACTTATGAAGATGATGGCTCTTCGTCTAACAGCAGTAGTACTTTCATAGATCAAGAAGTTGACTTTAAAGCTGATTATTACGATATTGGATCACCAGGAAATACTGTTGATGATCTCCACTGTTTTTGGAAACAACTTTGCCCAATCGAAAAGTTGGAGCTTGGAAACACATGGGGACTTGATTCTGAATCCATTTTCCAAGAACCATATCACGATCTAATCTGTCYGAACTCTGAACAGCTTCTATAACCATGGCTTTGGCATCTACAGCATTTAACTTGAATGGCATCCAATATCTCCTGTAGATAGTAGTATGTTAGGTTGCTAGTTTATATATGAAATTTCAACCTACAGCATCAATCAAGATCTTATAGGTGTGGGATGCACAAGTTCGTTCTTTCGGATGAGATGTTAATGTAATTAAAGAGAATGTTTATGGAAAAAAACAAGTCGGTCACAATGTCTTGGCAAAACAACTCCTTTGGCTGTTTTAAGTCGCAATGAAATATTTAAATTGGTCTAGTTGTAGCTTTTGTTTGCTATTGATTCTCTCTGCATTATCTCTATCTCCAATATTCTCATGCAGGTGAACTATTTCAATGACAATTGCAATATAAGTTTCACATACTTCCATTTTATTTCCCCCCTGCTTATTGAATTTTAAAAATTGTTATTGAAACTATTTTATATTTTAAAAATGATTATTTTAAGGTGATTTTAACTATAACAATATGTTGAAAATTGTGATACAAACCGAAGGTATGCAAGACAAACAATTATGGAGTTTCTGGCACGACCACACATTAAACTCAAGTACGGAGGTGTGTAATGTTATTTTGCAAATCAGAAAGTTTTGGGTGTTCTGACTCGTTCACACCTTATGATCAAGCAGTGGAGTGTGTAGTGTTATTTCGAGAAACAGAAACTTTTAGATCTTAAGGCATAACCGCACCTTATAGTTTTGTAGGTCGTGTGTAGTGATAAGGGTGATTTTCTTATCTTTTAGTAGTGGGATCAAATTAGGATTCCACCTATGGATTGGTATAACTACCCCCATTGAGTTCCATCATGGTAGAGAACGAAATTGAGAGCTTAGAAACTGTAGTTTGAGTAGAGAAAATATTGACAGATTATACACAATTTAGTGTCGGTTTTAATTTTTCTTTGGTGTTTTGGTTTTCTTCATCAATAAAAGTTATTCCTCTTCCCCTGTGTATGTCACATAATTTTTTATGTTTTGTGTGTTTTCAAAGTTCTTTGGTTGTTTATTTAATGTGCTTTCGATACTATATCCACATTAGTTGTTAGTTGGCATCACATACTTGATTGTTGTTGAATAAGGTTCAATACTTTATTTGCTTTTTAGAACCTTTTCAGTGTCTAAAACCCCAACAAATGGTATCAATGCTTCAGTGTTGATTATTGATGTTCGGTGGAACATATTCAGGCACTTCTTGAAGCAATATGATAGTTATCTCCAAAGAAGACGAAAACTCAGGCAAGTCTTCATCAAGCACTTCTTCTACCTATAGTAAAGGTTCCTATGCAGCCTCCATATCCATTTTTCAGATTGAGAGGTAGAATGATGATGGAGACTTTGGAAAGTGGCAGGGGAAGATAAAGGAGATACTTTGAAGAAATTGGGTGCATCGTGTTGTCTATGAACTAGACAAACTCACCCCTGATATATCAAATGAAAAGGTGGAAGAGATGGAAGAACCGGCTCTCACAACATTCATTACTAGAAAAGTGAGTTTTCGCGACTTTAGTGAAGACATGTTTCTGCAAGAAGATATTGCAACGACATGTGTCTCTATAAACTGTTACTGAAGATAAATTGATTTTTAGCGACGACAAAAATCACTGCTAAAACCTATGTTTATTGTGGTGATTGAAACTAGCAATGGGTGAGAAAGTGATTTCAATGATAAGCTCAAAGACAATCACACAAGGTATTGGGAACAAGCTAGAAGAGCTCTACCTCACATAGTATCTTACTGATCGTCTCATTCTACTTAGAACCTTTTTCACCAATAAGATGTAGGAAGGTACACCAATAAAGTCTCATCTCAATGTTCTTGATGATTTAATTTATGAAGATGAAATTAGTGGACCTGAAGATAGATGAGGAACAAATCGCAATGATCTTTCTATGTTCCCTCCCTGAACGATATACTAGCTTTGCTAATTCCTTAATTTATGGTAGAGATACTATAACTATGACAGATGTGAAAACCGGCCTCTTAAATGAGGATCTAAGGGATCAAATGTGAGGCTTGAATGTTGAAAAGATGATGGAAGCAACAAGCATAGGTTATTCTTGGGAAAGGACTTAGTGAATATCAAAAAAGAGATTGAGTCAAGAGGTCATTCAAGGTCATGCAAGCTAGAATTTAGAGGCAAATCCAAGAAGAGTGGCAATTGCCACTAATGTCATCAATTTGGACATTGGATTAAAGAATGTCCAAGTCTCAAAGCCAAGACCGAAATGGAAGGATTGTCTTCATCCATTATCATGAATGATTCTGATGATGCTCTAATTGCGTCAACCATGGAGTGATACTATCAAGGACCAATGGGTATTGGATTCAAGGGATTCTTTCCACATGACTCCACATAAAGAGCTCTTCACGTCACTTGAAGAAAAAGAAGTAAGCAATATCATCATGGCAAATAACGCGGTGTGAAAAATGTTAGAAATTGGTACAATCAAGAAGATGTTTGGTGGCATGATCTGAACTATTTCATATGTAAGGTATGTTCCCTTTATGACAAAATCTTTCACCTCTCTTGGTCAATTAGCAAAGCTTGGGTGCAAGATCAGTATGCAAGGCAACTCCTTGAGGACATCTTGTGGGACTCTTGTCTTGATCAAAAGTATGAAAGCTCCAAATAATCTTTATTTTCTAGATGAACAAACTTTCAGTGAGTACATATGTAGGTTAAAATAATGCAAAGGAGGTAGATGCCTCTAAACTATGGCATCTAAGACTTGGCTACACTTCAGAGAAAAACATGGAGATCCTACATAGGCGAAGGCTTAAGGAGAAAAAATTTAGGAGCCTAGATTTCTTCAATTAATGCATCATTGGAAAGCAAACAAAGGTCTCTTTTGGTGTTGGCAAACACAATACAACGGGAATTCTTGATTATGTACACGTAGATGTTTGGAGATGGGCTAACACTAAATCCCATAGTGAAGGTTAGTACTTCGTCTCTTTCATTGATGATTATTCTCATAAAGTTTGGATTTTTTTTTCAAGAAACATAAATTAAAAGTTCATGTACTTTGGTGGAAACTCAATCCACAAGGAAGTTGGAGGTGTTGATATCGGATAAGGACAGAGAATTCAAAGTGCTGAGATTCTCTCCTATTGCAAAGAAAAAGGGATCCATCGACACTTCACTACTCTTCATGATCAATAATCGAATGGAGTAGCGTAACATATGAGTCAAATATTTCTACAAAAACCAATATATATGACGTAAACTGCCAGTTTCCCTAATGTTTTTTGGGTCAAAAATTTATCTATGGTTGTGCACATCATTAAACGTCTTCCATTTCCAAAGAGGTACGGAGAGGTAAGAAATCAAATCTTAGTTATATTCATATTTTCGTTTTCCCGGTTTATGTCCATAATTCAGGAAAAGACAAACTTGGCCCTCATGCCACACAAGGACGTTTACTTAGATATACGAATATTGTTAAGGGATATAGAATCCGGAATCCAAAGACAAGGAGGGTAATACATTCCAAACACATGACCTTCAATGAATCTTCCCTAATGAGCACCAAGAAAGATATCCCATCCAAATCTGTAAATGACACAACAAGGAAGGAACAAGAGGTTGATCTATTGCACCCCTTTATGAACACCACTCAAGATAAATGTAAGGATATCATTCAATTCACTTCTTCTGGATGTGAAAACAGAACCAAAAGTTCTCATCAAGGTGAAGCATTTGATGATATGACAAATCAATATGTTTAGAGTAGTAAGTGTACTATCAAACCTCCATAACAGGTATGAGGATCGGTTATGTGCCAACATGAGCTTTACTAATTAGTTGGACTATGCACTACATGTAGTGGAAGATTAGCCTTTTGACCTTGACGATGTGATAAGCTCACCAAACAACAACAAATGGCATAATGATATGCAAAAAGAGATGGAGTCTTTGACAAATAACCAAACTTTGTGTGACATCCGTCATTTTGGAGCATCAGGTTAGGACCTTTGTAGGATACCTATATTTAGAGTTATATTTATTTAGGATCTAGTCATGATTGATTGGAATTCATCTGGCTTAGTTCCTAAAGTATAGTTTAGTGAACTTTGTTTCGACGAGTAGCGGATAAAGTTAACTTATGTAATGCCAAAATATATTAACGAATGCTCCAAAGATAATAAAGTTGATATTATAAAGTCCAAATTAAAATAATAAAGTCTCATTTGAATGTCCAAACAATTTTACCAAAAATATGGA